TATATATATATTTGTAAGAATAAATTTTCAATTTATGACAGTGAGTCTGTAGGAAATTTCAGTGTTTTTTTAATTTTTTCCACCCTGCACCATTTAAAGAATTTTTTCCAGGCCATTATAGGTTTGGTCAGGCCCATAATGGAGTAGCCAGGTTTCAATACATCCAAGGTCAAACCACTCCTAAAACATTCCCGAGGTCTCTGACCAAAATCCAACCCAGATCCTAAGAGTGGATGGTTGATGCCCTTACCATCTGTCCATTCATCCATCATAATTACAGTTCAAATTTTGACAGTTCACTTAACAACGATATTTCAGAAATCAATCAGATAATAAAAATGGGAATTAATTATATTAAAAGATATTAGAATTAGGGTATATTGTACAAAATAGAAGGGAAATTATATAGATTACCACCTATGGAATCTTGGGACTTTGAGTATATATGTGAACTGAGGGAACCAAGACGAGTTCAATGATACCCTACTTTTGGACCGGAGATGAAAAATAAGAGTTATCAATTACGTAAACAACACCTTATAATAATAAGGTGTTGGTTACGTAATTTATTTATTTTTTTGCTGAGTACGATTGTGTTCAATATAAGAAAGTTATACTTTTTTAATGCTATCATGCAGACGACACCATAGTTGCTAGTACTGCCATCTTGCGGTAAAGTCTGCAAAACATTAAAAAAAGCATCGTAAAAGGCAAGAAATTGCACGAACAGTCGAACGCCACTTCCTTTTTTTTCTTTTGTTCAAGAACTACCATCAATCAATAACTAGTGATGTTAAACACTTGGTGGCCTGCCGGCAGCCCCCTCTGGGAGGTTCGATGGGAGCACAAACAGTCGAATGCCACCTAGTGGAAACCTAAAACAGCATAGAATGCATTGTGAAATATGATAACTTTCTTATTTTTCGTCTCCGGTCCAAAAGTAGGGTACCATTGAACTTGTCTCAGTCCCGAGTTCAAATATATACTCAAAGTCCCAAAATTTCATAGGTCTATAGTATATAGTACAGCCAATAGAAGTACAGATTTAACAAATTAACATTAGATGTATTATATTCAATTTTTCAGTTATAATATAATATTGATGTTTTTACAATTAATTTATATTAACATTAAATTTCCAATGTTTAATATATATTGTACAGTACATTAACAACAAGCTATTAATTTAGTATCCCGGTTGCTTAATTTTCACTTCCTGGCAAAGTTTAACTGTCACGTAATTGTGTAACCTTCCAGCTGATGCATTATCATTCAGTTTATTTTAAGATGTTTGCTGATAACTGTTTTAAATATCTCGAGAACGACATCACTTTCATAACAATTTATATCAATAAATGAATCATATCTAAATATTATTATCAAAATAAAAACATTATTAAATTTACATACAAAAATAATTACTAAATCTTACTTATTATTATTTGAATTATAAGTTTAATCATGCAAGTTATAAAATATTCCTAAATTCTTATTACCTTCTTGTAGAATTTTTAGAATTGTTAACGTTTTTCTTATTCTGGATATTTCTTGGTTTGAAATTTTTGTCTAAAACACAAATTTTATCGGGAAGAATCAAATTTACGTCGAAGGAGAACTCCATGTTTATTTACATTCCAAATTTTCCCAATGTCGCGTATAGAGCGACTCCTGTTGAGTAAAATATTCAAGAAGCTTTCATATTATGATATTAATTAATATCGAATTTATGAGGTGCCATGATTTATTAATCACCGTCATTTGATAATAAAATATTTAAACTCATTACATATTATTAATATTGTATTTATGACGCTTATAAGTTTTAAGTTAGAGACTATTGCGCCCGTAGAGGTAAAAGGTGGCGGAAGTTACATTTTGCTCAATACAGTATTTGTAAGTACGCTTGTATACGGTGAAATATACGGTCAGACTTTGTATACATATCTCGATGGGAGTAAATTTCAGACAGTCTCTGATTCTGGTAATTTTATTACGAATGAGATTGACGTTACTCAATATCTTTTTGTCTACGATTTCAAATTGTTTCCAGTTATCCAGACGACGTATCGTAGTATCCTGCTTTCTCGAGCAGTATTCTTTAGGTTGCGTTTATGGAGGAAGGTATTAGCTTCCCGCACGCGCGTGTAGAAGCGTCATCTGCTGGTCGCTACACGCTAAACGCGGTTACTCCGGACACGCACATTTGCTAGAATCACTTTGTCCGCTCCGCTTGGAAGCGCGTTTACGCCTGCGGTCGCTGGACGCTGCCACGTAGGACGTACTCTTAAGGGTGGCGAAGTGGCAAATGTACTGTACAATGTCTATGGGACAAACATGTCAGGGTTCCATCCCCTCTGTTAATTAATCTTTTTGCAATATGGTTTTATTGTGTTATTTAAAAAAAATTCACGTTCGTATCTTTTCATTTATAAAGCTCATAAAGAACTCGAGTTTTTAATTAGTCGATTCTAATTACAAATGTAAATATAAAACCGTTCAAGAAATTTGGAAAATTTTTAAAAAATAATTTGTAGAAATTACTAAATGTTTAAATATTAATTTTATTAACAAATTTATTAAACATAAGCTATTTCAACGTAAATTTATATGAAAATAAAAGCAATTGTACAAATAAAAAAGTTTAAAAGTATAACATTAAAATGAATTACACAAAATCTGCTGATATAAATTACGAGAATATTATTGCTATTTTAAACAAAAACACTTCATTGTAGAATCTCTTTCTTCGTGGTAATAAAACCATTATAAATGAAACCTCGTAAGTTAATGTTATTAAATGTTACAAAATTGAGTAATGTTACGCAAAAACCATGTAACGCAATCGTCGTAATTTTTGCGTGTCCGCGATAGTCCACTGTATATTAGGGCCCAAAATCAGTTAATTAATTACGTTTTATATGTTCTAAATGCACTTGCGAATATGAGGAGTTTAGAACAAGTATAATTAAATATTTGAAGAGAAACTTTTTCAATGGTTAACTGACTTTTAGGCCATTCAGTACAGCTCAAGTCTTACTTCTATTGATACAAGCTATTGATATATGGGAAGCTTTCAAACCACAATTATAAATTGTTTCTTTCCCTGGAACTTTTCTTATGAATTCTTTAATTGTATCTATACGAGTGAATGCTGTGAGTATAAATGCACCCTGAAGTCCGTTAAGTATAATAAATAAATACCATAATATATTGCTGTTAGAATAAGCGGATATAAATCCAAAAATCCAAGATAATCCCATTATTAAGGCTAATTTGATGTATAAAAGAAATCGAAAATGCCTTTTTTCTTGTGCATTTTCTCGAGCTACTTTCGTAGACTTTGATGCTTTAACGATAGAAAATGTAGTGACTATGAACAGTACAACATTAGTTAATAAAATTATCCCTGAAGGTATAGCAAAAAAGATTAATAAGGCAAAACGATTTGAGATCCAACACACGTATTGACCATACATTGGAGCAAATTTACCACGAAATGCCCATTCTATAATTGAGGCTGATAACACGATAACTGATGGAATGCCCCAGCAATATAACGAATAATATGGAAGATATTTGAATTTATAATTTGGGGTCCTGTTTAAATTCGTGAACGTTTTCCAGATGTCAAAAGCAAGGACGTTACTACAGAATATTGTAACAAGGAAGAAGTAATGTGTACTCACAGCAATAATTATACAAAGTGGTCTATAAAGCTCTGCTTCGCCTATCAAAAATAGTAACTGAGCAAAGAACAACGAAAGAGATAAGTAAAATATTAAGACAGTTGATAGTTTATGCTGTTCTACATGCGTTATGAATAAAAGTATCTTCAAAATTAAACAAGATATCGACATTGATAGGCATATAATGGTTAAATATGTTTGTTCTTCGGGAAATTTTCTTATATTTTGGTTCTGTGCGCATATCAAGATGCTCTCGTTATTGCTAATTTCATAGCTTCCGTATGGGAAAACAGTTCTGTCTTCTAATAACACCATTGTTCCATTTTCGTATATTACGTATGAATTCTTCTCTATAGACAGCTAAATAAAATAATAAAAAAATAAATAAATAAGTTATTAGATCCTAAAGTTTTTCTTCGGGTTTAGAAAATGGCCATATAAACATTTAAGATATATAGTGGTCCAAAAGTTAGCTAACGTACTGTTTGGAAGTCAGTAATTTTTGAGTGTGTCAAGACGTTTCTTTTTACTGAATAAAAAAGATCTTTAGAACAGTTTTTGCAAGTTTTCGTATTGTAGTACGATAATAGATACTTGTTTTGCTCGTTCTGCATTATAATGATCATTTACATAATAACATTATAATCTACTGTACAATAGTGAGTGAAAAACAATGATTTCTTCCGTGACAATGAGAGCAGAACAAGTATCTGTTATCAAATACTCGTACAAACACCTTAGTATTTGAATATGGCAAATTTTTAAATCTTTACAAAGGTAAGCTGACTTTTGGGCTAACCGTGTCAATTTAACTAAAATTGTAATAAATTAGTTTAAGAAAATATTGTCTTTAAGATTTTCAAAGAAATTCTAAATATGTAAACAAATTTTAGAAATCATTTACTTACTTTATTGCAATCTTTATCGAGACTGCCGTTCATCCAAATTAAATCACTATCTCCATTTCTACTTGATAATTTAACACACTTTCCATCTTTATAATAAAACAATTTTCCACAATAAATACTTCGACATTTTTCCTTCCATGGATCATATATATATCCTTCGGGACATCTGTTTGTGTTGCCAACAATAATTCCTCCTTGAATGAAATCGAGATCCAAGAGAATTGCAATGGATAATTCCAGATTTAAATCTTTACGCAAGGAGTTTCTTATGGAACATTGCAATTGATCTTCTGTTAAACCAGCACAAAAGGCACAGAATTTATTCTTGTATATATATTCAATTCCATTCAAATCAGTGTATTTCACTGGAGCATAATATGTGGCACAGTTGTAACGAACCAATGAAGTACCATGATGGCACACAAAGATCCCATGCCAGTCACATTCTTTCGGTTTTGGAACTAAGTCAGGAGGTACAATCGTTACTAGACAACTTTGGCTGCTATTATAACACGAAGTGTATGGTGTCCACGCTTGCACATCGTGAACATCATTACACATGGCGCAGAATACGTTCCTATAAACGTAATAATTAGATTTACTAGTAACTGGTATGTAGAGGAGAAGGTCATCAGGATAGAGATCCACCTCTTCGCACCAAGATTTAGTTTCTTGATCCAACCAATGGGAAGGACAATGAGAAATCATATAATAAGCTGGAGAATCTAATTCGTCTTTTAAACGAATACACTCAAACTTCACACGAATTACTTGATCGCTTTTATCATGTGCAGAATCCCAACAACAGTCACCATATTTGTAACATTTGGAATTACAATGACAAAGTGAATTACCCATCAGTAGAGGATTGGGTTTCATGCAATATTTGTGTGTATGTTCACATTCTAAGAAGTTTTCTTCATGAGATATTATTGGAATTTTACCTAAAAAGATTTCAAATTAAAAGTTATCTTTAATTAGTATCATTTTGGAAATTAAAGAATAAAAAATATCATATTAATTTTAATTATTACTTGTAATTTCTGTAAATTTTTTCGGACTTTCTTCGGATATTTTATTAAAATTTGGTATAATAAATGATTTAATTCCATTTATCATCCAAATAAAGATAATGGGATGCTTCATGATGAATATTTTCAGTGACTGAATCGATCTAATAAATAAAAAATATCATGTACTAAAGCATGAATTACAATTATATTAATTACATTATTAATTTTTGAAATATTAATAATTCTTATCGTTATTAATTTTATATTAATATTTTAAAATGGAAGCTGAATGATCAAAGCGTTCAAGACCTGCTTCTTCGAAGGATCATATCCGAATCTCATTCTCATAAACGGTTGGGTAGCCAATATATACTCGTACGAGGATTATTTTTTAAATAAGGTCCGTTTTTTAATAAGAAGAAAAATACTGTAAATATCATTAAAATATATTTTTTCCCATATTCTACATACTTTTATCTACTTCTCTACATAATTTCCATTTTTGTTCAAACATTTGTCATATCTCTCAAAAATTTTTTTTAATTCCGACTTCAAAGAAATCTGCCGCCTGCCGCTGGAAGACATTAGGCCACGCCGCTTGACTTATATGGCATGGCGGAGTTTTCTCAAGGTCACAATAAGCATCAGAATTGTTTGTTTGTGCCTTTTGGCATAAAATCCACTAACAAAGTCCTTTTCCTGTCCCAAATGACAGTTACCATGATCTTTCGTGCTGAAATCGAATCTTACAGTCGGCGGGAGACTCAATTTTCTTAAACATTATAAACTTCTATCAATACAGTTCAGCACACAGACAGACTATACAGCTGCAAATGGCATCTAAACACGCGCAAAGCATGCTGAAAGCAGATGCTCATGCACACTGCTGCAATCGAGCGTCATTCTCACTCTCATTCACGAACGGACCTTATTTTAAAAATAGCCCTCGTATATACCATATATACGAATATCAAGCCCTATCTTTCACTATTAAGTGCAGTTAAGTGATGTGTAAGGCTCGTGACATAACCTAATCCTAACCTAATCCTGGTTATTGTTTCTACGGAACACTATACAAACAGTCAGGTACTGTATACCAGCAGTATAAATATGAAAATTTTTTCACTTATATAAGAGAAATAACAGTATCAATATTTTTCTTGCGTTTGTTTCGACTAGGAATTATTAATCTTAAATAAATGTATATTATTTATTTTAGACAGTTTTTACAGTTTAGTTTTTCCGATTATTCTTATCATCTCGCACGTTTACAAGTTATTCTGCCACAGTGAAAGATGAAATGGGTAATTATCAATACAATCGGCCATGTTATTTTGAAAAAGTTTAGATTTTTTTTAACCAAAATTACAATTTTGTATGATTTTGTTTAAAAAATCTGAACCTTTTAAAAATAACATGGCTGATTGTAGTTAGCTAATAATGTGACAAGAAACTATATTGTCCAATGACATCACTTATAACCTACGAGATATATTTAACAAAAATTTTAAAAAAATTTACATTGATGAACGTAGGACTTATATTTATACTATTTATCCACTAACCTAATTGTTTAATTCAAAATATTGGATGTAAACCTTACGATATGTGATTGCCATGATTACTTTTGTAATTGAGCTGCAATTTGAAAAATTGTAGACCTACAAATTCCCACTGTCGTCCGTCCGTCTGTTTTCCTTCCTTAATCTCGAGAACGGAGTTATATAGATGAAATCCGAGATTAGATATGGAAATCTTAGGGCAGGAGGCCCCAATTAACTATATATGAACTTATTTTACGTTATTTCAATTCAAAACTTTTTCCCCTGAAAGCAGTTAATATATGACCGGCAGGACTCTATTCTTAAAGGAAAAGTATGATGTACTGTACAGTACAAGTGCAAGACACTACAGTACTAATTTGAGGTGGAGAGCGTATATTTTAAATTAAATAAATTAAAAATATGATTAAAAATTGCAGCCCCGCATTGTGACGAAGTCACAATAAATAATTGCTCGTTTGATTTAAATTAAGTTTATCGTGATTAGGGGAGATCGGGGCAAGATCGGCATGTTAAGCTTTACTTAAATTTTGTGTAATAAATACTGCTGTAAACTGAAAAAAAAGCTTTGCATATTGTCTATTGGAATGTTACCTTACTATAGAACTGGTTAAAATCAGTTTGGAAATAAAAATAATTAAAATAATTACAACTTTACAAGAAGAGAGAAATTGACGAAGTTGCCCCGGGTATAGGGGCAAGATCGGCAACTTCTCTCTTTTTGTAAAGTTGTAATTATTTTAATTATTTTTATTAAAGTTGCCCCTGGTATAGGGGCAACAGTAATGGGGCAAGATAGGCACGTATATAAAATTATGTTATTAACAATGTATAAGTTGGAATTCACTATTAAAACAAAGAAATACAAATCCAACACCCATTTAATATTATTACAACGAAATGCAAGTTCAAAGACATATATACATGAATAACAAATGCAAACATGTTTTCATTTATCATCTGTTTGATTTTTATCCTTTGCTTCTAATGTGGCTTTATGTTGCCGATCTTACCCCGCTAGTCATGATTTCGAAACATTAAGTACAACCCTGAGAACAGAATGCCAAGCCACGATCTGGCCACGTGAATAAGTTGAAGTTACATCCTTCTAACAGGAAAAGTAACTTTCGTTATCATGGAATTATAACAAAACCTGCCAATTCAATATAAATGGAAAAAAAATATTATATGGAATTGAACGAAAATGAAAATTTGCTTGATAATTCAACTACGCTTGTTGGAGAACAATAAAAACACTACACTCAACAAGCCACCAATAAAACTCAACTGCCTAACCTATAACCAAAGTCTCCTTTTAATTTGTTTTTAAAAAAAAGAGCTTGACAAACTTGCCCCGCATGCCGAAGTTGCCCCGGTCTCCCCTAATATTAAAATTACTAGCCAAATTCCTGAACATTTAAATAACTCTTAATATTTTTACCTTTACAGTAATTCAGAAAGAAAATAATTATAGAGGAAAGTGGCCAAATTCGAATTTCCACTTTGTTACTAATCTGTATATTTTTTATTTAAAATTATTGTCATTTCAATTTCAACAAAATGAATTCTTTGATATGTTTTCTAACATTCTTCACGGCAGCTTATCTCGTAACTCATCAGACTTTCCAAATAAATTACAGTAACTGTAAAAGTAATAAAAACGCAATAGGAGAAAAATTTTGCTCAAATCGGATCTCTTTTAAAAATTGTAGGTAAACACATTCAAAGGAAAAGGAAACAGGAAAATATTTCATCAAAAGTCACTGTAAGAAACTGCTAAAATAATTACAAAAACTAGTTGTTAAAAAACTGCTACGTGCTCTACCGATGAAAGTGCTCACAAATAGGTAGCTTTTCCCATCTAATGTGCATTCCACTTTCTCCCATGTCGGTTGCGTTTTTGTCATGAAATCTGAAATAATAGATAGAATTCATGAAAACATTTCAACGGTATGACTTAAGACGTAGAGAAAGCATAGGATCCGACTTAGGGAAGATGGAGCGATCCTATTTAAGCATTTCTTATTGATATTTTCAAGACTCAAAAATAAAGTTAATGAGTTAAATTCATACAAGAAAATGCTAGTAATAAAGTATTTAACTTACTAAGTACAAATATGCAAATAATATCACAACATCTATCCTCTTTAAAATAACGAAAATTACTGTCACAAGCACATGTAATATGTTTCAATCGCACAAAAGTAAAAGTGGCAAGATGCAGACAGACCAAGTACACTATGTGATCCAGTATTGCTATTTCGAACACAAAATTTCCTTTCATAACTTCTCGTTCCATATTGTGTCACTATGCGGCAACGCTTTCTATAAAAATAGTATAGTGGTTCGACATTGGACACTTTACACTACTTACAGCACATAAGCATAAACTTTTTAAAATATTTCTCATGTTTAAAAAGTTGCTTACAAATGTTTACCGCACTTAAACTGGTTAAATATTTACTTTAATAAAAGTTTTTTTTTTTTTTTAACTGATCTTGAATCATAGCTTAGTAATAAAGCGATTAAGAATAGTGAAAACAATAAAGCACCAAAACCATAATTATATTTAAAATTGTTCTTAATAATCTGGATATTGGAGGCAGATACAACACTGAGGAAATACTTCTTTACACGGGTATTTTTCCAAGAAATTCTTAAAATTTTCTTTAAAATAACATGCAATAATGCGAGGCCTTTATAGAAAGGTTTGTGTTCGGATTGGCTTTGTTGAATTTCGTCTTCTTTTCTCTCGACGTTGTCGGGAAATTTATCTTTCTTTTTATTTATGAACAGAAAATCCTCATTCAATGTCGATTAAATGAGGATTTGCTCATTAGTTAACGTCGTTAGGTTCTTAGAAACTGCGACATAGTCCTATAACGACATAGGCCTATAACGAAACCAATCTTACTACAGGCTAAATACAGTATAATAAACATCATATAATTGGGTTAATAGTATTCTAATTGGATTGTGCTTGCATTTATTTTCCATCTCCTAGAATCAATTTTACTGTTTATAAAGAAAATTCAAAGTAAATGATTATAAATGTACTGTACTTGTATCTTTCTTCAATGACGTTAAGTAAGGATTTGCCGTACTTTTCCCTAACCCTTTCATCGTATTTTATAGAAAAATTCGTAAAATTCCACGAATTTCTTTCAAATGCTACAAAAGTTCATTTTAGCTTATAACGCTTTTGACGTAAAACCTAATGACGCGTGAATATTTTGTAATTACAGTATTTACTTTAAAAACTCTTATTAAATTAATATTATTTTCCGTCTACTTTCGATGCTTTTTTAAAATATAATTACTGTATTTCGAAATATAGTAGACTATTATAAATTGCTTTTCTGTCAATTGTTCTACTAAGAATTACTTCATCATTTCAGAAAAATATATTTTAACCTTCGTGAATATTTTCGTAAATCATAATAGGGAACCCTTCTATACAAAGATAGCTAAATAAAGCAAAATTTGTTTTATTAAAAGAGAAAGAGATTTCTATGAATAAACCTATAAATACTTTTATTATTTACAGTACTGTACGTAACTACTATACGTAAAAGTTGTATAGGCCTACTGTATAGGCC